CCTTCGTCCCTCCCTCCCTTCTTTCCTTTCTGCCTCCCTCCCTCCCTCCTTTCCTCCCTCCCTCCCTTCTTTCCTTCCTTCCTCCATCCCTCCCTTCTTTCCTCCCTCCCCCTGCTTCTCTCCTTCCTTACTCCACATTCCCTCCCTTTTTTACATCCTCCCTCCCTCTACTTCCTCCCTCCCTCCCTTCTTTACTTCCTCTCTCCCTCCCTCCCTTCTTTCCTCCCTCCCTTCCTCTCTCCCTCCCTTCCTTCCTTTCTTCTTCCCTCTCTTCCTCTCTCCCTCCCTCCCTAAGACTGCTTCCCAGTTACTGCAGCAGGTTGGAAGCATGTAGATCTAGTTGCCCCACTTAGGGATGCTAATTTGGGTGGCAGAGCATAGCAGCCTGATCCCTACCTTGTGAATTTCTCCATCAGCTTTTTATCTAATGGTCTCATCCATCCATGATCTTTGCCTGAATTAATTATGTTCTTAGGATATTCAAGATGATAATCTTCTACTTCTATCAATCTTCCCTCATTTAGCTGTTGGAACTCTGAAAAGAAGCATCTCCCCTCATCCCTCAGACTATTTAGTTACCTTCAAATATAGGAAGGCAGAATAAATGCTTAATTCTTTTCCCTTAATTACCAATTTTCAGGGTGAGGAATTGGTCCCCTGGTTACTTCCAATGTTAAATAGATTTTTCTTTCTTTTTCTGTCTTGTGATCTCTTTTGCTGAGTGTCATCATGAAAGCACAGATTCTTACCTGTTCAGTGGGTTTCAGTCACCTGCAGTCATTATTCTTTTTGAACCTAGAATTGGCCCATCTTTGGCCTTGGGAGGCTTTTGTATCCTGGGGCTCCAGCCTGAGGCTGCACTCTTTGATGACTTCCTGCCTCACGCTGAGATGGAGCCGCGCGCCTGCCGGGCCTTGGTTTCTTAAGTGTCAAATGCTATTTAAAGACCATAACGAGAGCACCAAGGTGGATGCTTATCGCTCCCAGATGGTCACTGCTTCGACACCTTCCCAGTAGACAGAGAACATCTTTTCTGAAGCATCATGAATTCATACTGACATTTCCAGTGAAACTTCAGGTTACTGACCTTAAATGTATATGTTATGTTATGTTAACTTAAATATATATTTTATTTTATTCTATTTTATTTTATTTTATTTATTTGAGATGGAGTC